ACATACATACATACATACATACATACATACATACATACACACACATACACATACACATACACATATACATATACATATACATACATATATATTATCTTAAGGTAAAGATAAATGTAAAGGTCCCCCTCACACCTAGGTGCTAGTCAGTCCCGACTCTAGGGGGAGGTCCTGACTCATCTCTGTTTCTAAGCCGAAGAGCCAGCACTGTCCGAAGACATCTCTGTGTTCATGTGGCCGGCATGAATAAATGACAAAGGCTCACGGAATGCTGTTACCTTCCCACCAAGGTGGTCCCTATTTTTCTACTTGCATTTTTACATGCTTTGGAACTGCTAGGTTGGCAGAAGCTGGGGCAAGTAACGGGAGCTCACTCCGTTACATGGCGGTAGGCATTCGAACCACCAAACTGCCAACCTTTCTGATCAACAAGATCAGCGTCTTAGCCACTAAGCCGCCATGTCACCCTATTTTTTTTATCTTAGATATCTTTAAAACACCCCAAATATTTCATTCAGAATTCCCTAAACCAATTTCTGACTTCATGCACCAATAAGACTCAAGGTACTCAATGTTTTCAAAGTAACTGTTACTATTACAAAAGTAACAGTCTCTTTAACAAAAAAAGACTGTAAGATGGTAACAATTATTAATTTCATGCTGGTGATTTCACGCCAGTATATAACCAAAGGAAACCAAAACTAATGAAATCTTGAATCTATAAATGTTGGATTAGATTTGGGAAGCTATGAGTCATCCTCCCAAGGACTTCCTCCTCCTTCCTTTCACAGGTGATGTATTTATTGCTCCTTCTCATTTGGTTGCACAAGTCTTCACTTCATATTGCTTTTTCTGAAAGCTGGCCTTTTTTTGACATGAAGAGTTGATTTAATAGGAGTTGGGAGGAGACCTGCACTCACACTACTAGGGTCCCAGTAATGTTTCAGCTCTTCTATAATCTCAGTGAAGATGTATCTCGGTTGTGGTACCAAGACTAGTACTGCCAACCTACTTCAACAGCTCACTTGATAGATTGCTCCGTGAAGATAGTGAAAGGGCCTCCACATGCCACACAGAAGCCTGCATGGGACAAGTTGAATGAATAGTAGAGTGAGTTGCCGTGACCCGACAAAAGCGCGAACGTCAAAAGCGCACCGACAAAACCGTGGTGCTAAAACCGTGATGTCAAAAGCGCGCCAACAACAGCGCGCCGACAGAAGCGCGATTTAAGGTAAGGTTTAGGGTTAGGTTTAGGGTTAGGTTTAGGGTTAGG